GCTTTGTTCCCTCCTAACTAGTTAAATATTTGTTAGGCAACTTGGTTCTCAAAAAGTACTCAACTACATCACTGGTGCATAATAGCATTACATGTACCAGAAGTTATCACATGAGTGTGAGCGAAGCACAGAGTAATGGAGTGCATGGACCTGTGCCTTGTATACCACAAGGATCCTCATGGAATACTTGACACAGATGTGCTATGTGAACTTGTGTTCCATAAAGCGGGAGCTTGATAACAGGCTTTAACTTCAAGCAGACTTGATGTGCAGTTGAGATGGAATATCCGCTCTATGCATGTACGGAAAAGAATTACATGAAAAAGATAAAATCGACTAAGCACGTTCAAATTTGGAGCGAAATTTTGCAGCTTTGCGTTTTTTGCTTTTTAGCGTTTGTTGTTGTTTTCTCATGTCACATATCATATTTAATCGCTTCTATTGAAGCATTTAGGATTATACCAGTGTTATGTATTGTAGCTACGCTGGTCAGGGATCTCCATCACAGAGTTCTACTGTTCAGCACTGAGCTTGATGAAACAGCCCACCGACTGGCACAAAAATCCTTCAAAATCCCAGAAAAAACAAGCAGTCACAATGAAAATTTCATATTTTCACCTGCCATAATTTTAAAAATTTGACCTCTTGATCAATTTGAAAAGAAAAACTCACTGAAAAAGCAATCTAGAGTCCCCTTAAGGGGACCCTGGGCTGTGACCTGCAAGACTCCGGTCGTTTCGCTCCCTCCGCTAGGCATTACTGAATAGTCCTGCACTAAAATATGGCTGGCTATAACACAGGTTATATGCATGTGCAATTCTTAACCATGCCTCGCTCGGTCCTCCAGTCTGATTTTACAGAAAGTAAATCAAAGTCTGAAGGAAGCTGACTTGCCCATTACCCCCAAGTAGACTTGATTTACCGTCAACCTTTGGGTACATTTTCTATTTTTTTGACATTCAGCTCCGGATCCCAACATGACCATCACCTTGACGTTCAAGGAGTTTGAGACGGAGTGCACCTACGACTTCGTGACCATCTATGATGGCGACACCTTCACCAGTACCGTCCTGGGCACCTACAGTGGCAACTTGTTACCGGGGCCAGTGCAAGCCAAAAGCGGCAAAGTGAGTCCATGTGAAAAGAAGTGGTCTACTAGTTCCTAAAGTCAATGAAGGGTAGCAATACTATTATCACTGACCCAACTTGGGAAGATCCCAACTACAGAACTGTTCCTGACTGCTGGTACATTTGGAGGGTCCAAACTACAGTTGAAGGGTCCCAACTGTGCTTAAAAAATATCCCAAGTACAGTTGGAATTCAAACTACAGTTGTGGAGTCTTAACTACAGTTGGCAATCTAAACTGGAGTTGGACAATCCATCTACAGTTGGCAATCTCAACTGGAGTTGGACAATCCATCTACAGTTGGGCAATCTCAACTGCAGTAGGATGATGCGAAAGTTGGACAATGTCAACTACAGTCTAGTTTGGCAATGTAGCTACAATTGGGCAATCTCATCTGCAGTTGGGCAATTCAACTACAATTTGGCAGTCTCATCTGCTGTTGGTTGGTCCCACCTCCAGGTCTGGATGATTCAAACTACAGTTTGGTGATCGTAATTCCTTACTACAGTTGGAGGAGACCAGCCAAGGTTGTGTGTTTCCAAATGCAGTGAAGATGATCAGAATGGTACCAGAACGAGCTATTATAAACCATTACGTGTAGCAAATGGGTTCAGATCTCTTGTGTAATGTGCCAGTTTGCACTACTTACAGCACTTTTCATTCATTCATTCATTTTGTTTTTATTGTTAACCCCTTCGCGACGGTAAATGGTATTATTCTCGGTCCACGCTCGAGCGAACATGGTGAAAGAAGGCATACCCTGCTCTTGTATATATGGTGATTGGCCTTTGTGTGTTGCCAAGAAATGAAAAGGCTGAATTTGCATCATAATCACCANGAGTAGAGCTGCATGCCACCAAACAATCAGCCTTTTCACCGTGTAATTCAAAGCATGCAGAGCACGCAGGGCCGCAAACCGAGAATTTGCGGTTTGGCAGGTGGCCTTCATGGCCAAGCGAGGCTGGAATTCTCGGAGTTGGCTTTCAGAAAAAAGTTCCCGTCGTCAAGGGGTTAAAATGAAGATGGTGACCAAAGAAAAAGTCCAAGGACTAAAGATATTTGGTTCACAGAGATAATTAATATTTACAATGATTGTCAGACATTACATACATGTACATATAAACAGTTTAAAAAAACAAATAACAGCGACTTACAATTGTAGATAAAATTTGAGTGATTAAAATGGAAATAAGATCAGAGGAACAAGAACATATGAACACCTAAAACCACTGAGAACTTATTAATCTGATCATAGAGGGGACAGGAGATTGTTCATATCTTTGAGTATTGATTCGGGGCATGGTAAGTTGGTTGGAGTTCCTGAGATTTCATTTGGTGAGAGAGCGTTTTGGGTTGGGAAGCATGTGACAATGTTTTTCAGAGGCGAGCACGTTTTTGGCAAATTGAGTGGTGAGGTCAACACGTCTGTCTATCGCGCACCTCACACACTTGAGTGAGATTTGTGTTGCAAGTTGTCCATGGGACGTGGCCAACTCGCAGATAGCAGTAAATAAAAATTGAACATTACCCTGTAGTTACAATTTTGTGATGTGCGCGGTTGCAAAGACATTCATGACGTTAGTTGATTTTTGTCTTTTTTTTGCCCACTCTAGATGTTAATACACTTGTACAGCGACACCAATTACCCACTGAACGGTACGACAGCAACGTACACGATACAGAACTGTTCCAACGCCTGTTCAGGGCACGGGGTGTGTCAAAATTACAAATGTGTGTGTGAGTCTGGATATAAGGGAGACTCGTGCGAGGGGAGGAGTTGCCCGTACGAGTGCGGCCAATCGGCCAGCCGGGGGAACTGCGACTTCACAACGTTGGTAAGTTCAAAACCAGGCTTTGATCTTTGCAGCGTCCACTACTGCAATGCCCCTGTGAATTGCCATGATGACCTTAAAAAATAGCGTGTACACGTACCTTGCGACCACTTGGCCAACGTGCCCCTCTTCATTGATCAGTAGGCCTATTTGAAAGTTGTATTCAAGTAACAAGTTACCATTTAGCACGTTTAGCACTAGCGTTTCTGTCAACGGCTGGCGCACTGAGCACTATTTTTTTTCATGGACTAGTTATGCATGGCACTGTACACAACGGGGTATAGCAACTATATCAGTGTTGTCGAGTTGTGTGATGTTAAAAATGTGGCACCAGACTACTGTTATACATAGACTGGTTACAGGACACAGCACAGAATTACACATTCTGCACTGATTGGATTTTGTACATTGCACATATTGAGACTGAGTCACTAATATTTTGGGATTGCGCATGGGAGTGCGACCCAGTCTATTTTTTTTCTGGCTCTTTCACTGGTATGCATAAGGATGCGACGGCGGGCCTCCATTGGATAAATATTTGTGACCCAATGACCGACTTGCTTGAATTGCATTGTAAGTGTGTAATTACATTGATTTTTGAAATGCAGACAGTGTTGGCTTTGTTAAACTCTGTTGAAAATGAACATCCCTTTGACAGATGCCGCAGTGCACGTGCAATGCAGGCTTTGTGGGCGAGGGGTGCAGCCTATCCACCAATGACAACACAGGCTGGGGAGACACCGTGCTGGTGTCGTCAGGGATCCAGTCCGTCTTCAGGGCACGAACGGGCCACACGGCCCAATACCATGAGGGCACAGACAGCCTGTGGGTTTTTGGAGGTAAGTGCATACAAATAACCCTCCAATGTGAACGTCCATGCGAGACGAAGTTGTCCACTCAGTCAAACTCAGCCAAGTCAGAATTTTCAACAGCCCGGAGTTCCTTGCTTACGTGGAGCAGAACCGGCTGGCCATAACTATGGATTTAACTTGACATAGCCATGGTCTCGTTCGATAACAAGGACCGGTAGTTACCGTGTGGTCGGTTTGTGACGCGCCTAGCACATGTGCAGTGAAGTTGAAGTTCAAATGATTCTAATGAACTGTTGTCAGGTCATTCTCGCTGTTTGACACCTGAGGACTACAGTGCAGTCCTTCAAAGCATAAAATGCAATTAACCCAAACCCTGCCAGACGCAGCACAGTGCATCAGGTGAAAAAGTCTGGTGCGCTTTGATGCACTTGGCAATTAACAATAGCAGCCAAGCAAGCTGGCCATGTTGAGACAATAGGCGGTAGTCCCATTGAACAATGCCACTGTTGGATCTTGTGGTGACTGCCGACCGCATACTCCCAGGCTGTTTGGCCTTGGGGAGAGTTGACCTATTGGATTTTGTTACACTGGGCAAGCAAGCCACTTTGACCAACGATGCAGATTGATGTGTCTGGCAGGGTTTCTAGCCAAAAACCCTGGAGGGTTGTTAGGGGCATTTTTACCCCTTTACGGTGTGTGAAAAGGCCACAGTGACGTCATGCCAACGGCAAGGACGGGTGAACAAATAACAATGGAAAATGATTGTTTGCTCACGACAAACCTTAATTCCACCATTTTTTTCGTATAACTGGTCCCCTCTGCACTGTGCTATTCAAAGCTTCTGTGGCAACCAACAGCGCGACTGACTTTGGTTGGCTGGTGGCGAATAGTCAGCTAGTCTAGCGCAACCATCGTTGACTAGCGTGCGTTCTATCGCAGTCAGTCAGACTGTGGTTCACTACGGTCCTTGATCGCACATGCCCTGAGCTGTGACGAACCTTGTCACCCCACAAACCAGTCGCGCTTCACAACGTGAAATGCGCATTCATGGATACTCCTGATCACGTTTTTCTGACGCCGTCAGAACGTAATGGTTCAGGGTTGTTGGGGCATGCTAGGTGCATCTTATTAAGCCATTTGGCCCATTGGACATTATGTCAGTGGGTTGTAATGATATTTATAGGTATTGGTAACTCCAAAAATTAGGGGTCCATTTTTTTTTCATGTCCCTGTCACTTCTGACATATGATTTTGTAAGTTTAGAACACATTTTCTAATTTCCAAGAGTGATGAATTAATGCAAATTACCTGCCAAACAAATAGTGATAGTTTGAAATGAATTCCAGTGATATTTCCATGTCAAATAACAAAGGTCAGATGTAACAAGGACACAAAAATGTCACACTTTTGGACCCCGAATTTCTGGAGTTACCCGGATACATGTCCATGTATTCGTGTATGTATTTATTATTTGTGTTTGGTTTAATGAAGGTTACGACCTCAATAGTGTGCTGGATGATATCGTCCGATACAACTTCACGTCCAACCAGTGGGAGGAGGTGGTCCCCACCTCTGGGCCCAGGCCGGTGAGTCATTTCGATGCGTTACTTAAAACCTCATGTTAGTCATTCTATATTTGGGGGTCCGATGTTTTTTTAGTTCCCCGGTCACATCTGACATCTGATTTTGTAGTTCAGAACACATTCTCCAATTTCCAAGAGTGATACACAGATGCAAATTACTCGTCAAACAGATAGGAATAGTCGGTAATCAGTCTCAGTGATATTTCCGTGTCAAAGCACACAGTTCAGGTGTAAACAGGACACAGAAGTGTCACACTTTTGGCCGTTGAATTTATAGAATGACCCATGTGCTCCCCTTGCAATACAAGGTTTCGTTTGTTTCTCCTGTATGAGCCACATGCGCACTGACCGTCAATAAAAAGGCAGCGATCTGAAAATGAGGTTAATTTTTACGTCTCCCGTTTTCCCGCAAGGAGCTTTTGCAGCAGAACCCTAGGCATTTTATGTACTTCGGACATCAGTGATCACATGTTTGGTCGGGTCATGCAAGCTGCACTGTAATGCTACATGTATTGTACTGCTACATTGATATCAATTGATAACATTGAAAAATTTGATATTGGTACTGATTTATTACATATCAATACAGGTGAGCTGGCCAAAATGTATGTACCGGAGAGCCACAATAAGCCTTTTGTGAGTTGAATTTGAATAAAATCTGGTACACCGAGTTCTTTAAATTCACATGAACATAACAATTTGAACTCTCCGTACTAAAATCACTGTTGCTATACCTCGTGATTCGGGGCAAGCTTTTGCTTTATAGTTACATAAGAGATGCCTTGCACCGATACACTGTTTGAGATGAATAAGAAGGGCACAAAGGAACCAGTCCATTCCAGAGATGGTGGTCGCTATGCAAAAGCTTGCCCCGAATCACGAGGTACATGTATAGCAACAGTGTCTTTAGTCTGGGGGATTCAAATTGTTACGTTTATGTACAACCAGACAATGCTCACAGTGCACCAGATTTTATTCAAATTTAACTTGCAAAAGGCTTATTAACATAAATTTAAAAATCAAAACAGAAGTACAGAAAATCACAGCGACAGAAAACACTATAATACCTCAACATGAAAATTATTCTTTTATGAAATGCATGTACCAGTACAAAAAGGCTTTGAAAAGCTACCTGGGCCCAATTTCATGGCACTGCTTACTCAAGCAAAAAATTGGCGCTTACTGTAGCAGAAAATTCTGTGTTTACGGCAAACGTATTTCATGGGTTAGTGAGGAATTTTTGCTCATGTGCTTGCATACATCCTGTAGAAAAGGATTCTCTGTTTAAAAGGTTAGCGCAGAATGTTTTGTGCTTGCGCAGTAAGCACATAATGGAGATCGTAAGTGCGTAATTCTGCAGTAGGCAGCCCCATGAAATTGGTTTATGTATTGTTATTTGGGCATGTCAGTTTAAATGAGGAAGAGAGCATTTCATGAATAGACCGCTGTAGTGATGACGATATTTGGTTTAATACTAAAGCGCTTTCCTGTGGTGCTCAGTTGGCCGTGGGCCACCACTGACTCCATAGGAAAATGCAGTGTTTGCCGGAACGAAAGAATTGCCCTGCAAGATGGCTGCCACTGAAAGCCTGTACAGTCGACTCTTGTTAACACCAGGGCCTTGGGACTTCCTAAATTAGCTCGTATTATCCGGACCTTGTCTGACGCGAAAGCTGCTGTTCCGCTTGTCGCATGTGCGACCAATCAACCGCATCGTTAAGCGAACATCATGTAAGCGAACATCTGTACGTACATGTAGGCCTACATGTACTTTGTATGCACGTACGTGTGGTTTGGAATTTAATCTCAAAACAGTTTATGTTCATGAAAGTGAGAAGTAACTGTACTTTTTATGAATAAAGACTTGAAATAAAGAACAATAACATAATATAAAACCAGTAGGTGA